AAGGTTTTGTTAAAAATATGTTGTATCTGCAGGAAATTAGACTGGGAATTAAATGCTACAAATATTTTTGCATAGCACATTAATGAGTAGTAAATGTGCCTCTAAATGCAAGAATGGAGTTGATGATTATGATGTGACCCCATATCCCATGCAGGGAAAAAAAGTAGGATTCCTTTAGTGTTCCCCACCTTAGCAGCATATACCTTTCCTTCACTCCACTGCTTTTTTGTTAAGCTAATGGAAACAATAAAACTATTGAGTACTTCCAGAAATGTGACTTACTCCTCTTCCTCTTATGACTGGACCAGCACTTTTACTAGAGGAGGGGGCAGTCATCAGCCCTGTGTAGGCTCTGATAAGATTATAAAGGCATTATTTTCCCCACTTCCATTAGGTAGGGGAGCATAAAAAGGTAGTTATGTGCTGCCAGTGAGGGTGGCATTAACATGAATATTTTTCTGAACCCTGTATATAATGTATATTTTTCCATATTAGGTGCATAATCAATGTGTGACACTTATGGGTATTTGTAAGCTCTTAGAGATTACAGTGTTCCCACTGACCTTGCTCTCGTCTGCTTTTCTCTCTAGGATGACAGTGCCGTTTATTTTTCAGGCATCATCCAGGTTCAGAATCTACTAGAAATGCAGGCTCTGATGACACAATCATGCAAATCCTCTTCAGTTTACACAGACTGCTATATCAAAGGCTGGAGTTCTTCTAGCTTGTCCATAATCTTCAGGTACCTTTCCTCTCATCGGTGCTGATGGAATTAAATTACAACAATTGTAATGTGCTAGTCTGAAATTCCCAGGGTCCGTTTGCAGCACTGTGCAATGCATTGTCACTAATTATTTCATGCAGAAGGAATCCTTGTGGATAAACACTGTACAGCAATTGATTCCTAATGAATGAATAAATAAAAGTATAATTTAAAATTGTGGATACAGCATGGAATGGTAAAAACCACTGTAGGCGTTTTTGCTCTTTGTTTCCATTTGGGGAGATTTCTCTTCACTTCCGGTTCCCAAAACACCAGGGAGTGAGCTATAATCTTTCCATAGTGAAGGAAAATCCCAACTTAAACAACTTTCACTGAAACACTTGTTCTCATTTCAATATTTGCCATTACCTCTGTTCTGGCGACAGTTGTCAAACTTTGGATTTTCCATCACTTTTTGTCCCATCAACAATAGTCACCACAACAAGTGCAGCAATTGTATATCTCCATCAGGAACACAGTAAGCAATAAAAACTTAACAGAGGTTCTAACCCTTTGTCACTTTCTCCAACACAAAAAAAATTTGCCTTTAGATATACAGATAGGGAATTAGACTGAAAAACAAAAGATGGCAAAACGGTAAGACAACACATCAAAGAAAAGAAGCAGGCATTTAAAAAATATAAGATGGGGGGGACTGCATTAAGATAAGATATGTAAATAATAAATCCGGGCAGCTAAAATAGATTAAGAAAAACATATCGCCACAGTCTGTAAGAAGAACCCCAAAAATTCTTCCAATATATAAACAGCAAAAACGTAAGAAAAGAGCAGGTCGGCCCCAAAAAAGATGAGAACAGGAGATTAATCACAAATGACCGGGAGAAGGCTGAGGTATTAAATTAATTTTTCTACTCAGTATATAATAAAGACAAAGACGGGTTCAATGGAGATAAGAATGTGAGTAGCTTAGTGCGTAAGATACCACAGTGGTTGACAGTAGCAGGGATTCAACAAAGACTGGAAAAACGTAATGCAAATAAATTGATAGGACCAGATAACGTGCACCCTAGGGTACTTAAATAGCTTATTCAGGTTATAACAAGACCAGTATTCCTCATTTTCAAGGACACCATAATGACTGAAAAGGCACCAAGTGATTGGAGTAAGGCAACGGTAGTACCAATATTCAAAATAGGTTCAAGATGCCAGCCTAGGAACTACAGACCAGCCAGTCTAACATCAATAGTATGCAAACTGTTTGAGGGAATGATAAAGGACTTTACTGCATCTTGTTCATGACAATGGTATAATAAGTTATAATCAGCAGGATCTAGGAAGCACCGTTCATGTCAGGACCAACCTACTAACATTCTACAAAAAGGTGAGTAGAGATCTGGATGGAGGAAGGCCGGAGGATGTGGTGTACCTGGATTTTTCCAAAGCTTTTGACATGGTACCACATAAACGCTTAATATACAAGCTGAAATATATGGGCATAGGTGAAATGGTTTGTACCTGGATAACGAATTGGCTACAGGAACGTGTCCAGAGAATATTGATAAATGGCTCTTTTTCACATTGGTCTACAGTAATGAGTGGCGTACCCCAGGGTTCTGTGCTAGGCCTAATATTGTTTAACCTGTTTATTAATGATTTTGGGGAAGGTCTTAATAGCCATGTTTATGTGTTTGCAGATGATACTAAAATTGGGAGGGTAATAGACACAGGATTAGACATTATAACATTACAGGAGGACCTGGATAAAAAAGGGGAGTGGGAAACTACATGGCAGATGAGGTTTAATGTTGACAAATTTAAACTAATGCATTTTGGGGTTAAAAACAGGCAAGCGGAATACACATTAATGCGAACTCCGCTAGGGAAGTCAGAAATGGAAAAAGATTTGGCGTTCATAGTCGACTACAGATTGAATAATAACTTGAAATACCAGGCTGCGGCAAACAAAGCAAGCAGAGTACTGTCATGCATTAAAAAGGGAATGTGCTGTAGAGATAAAACAATAATTTTGCCACTTTATAGATCACTGGTTCGGCGACATCTTGAGTATGCTGTTCACTTTTGGTCACCAATCCACAGAAAGGATGTCCTGGAGCTGGAGAGAGTCTGGAGAAGGGCAACTAAACCAATTAACGGGCTGGAGGACCAAAGTTATGAGACAAGGTTACTAAATTTAAACTTGTTCACGCTGGAAGTGTGGCAATAAAGGTGGGGACATGATTTTGATGTACAAAATGTTTAGTGGTGATGGCAACATCAGCAAAAAACTTTTTTTAATGTGAACTCTCTAAAAAAGCCTAAAAAACCACCACCTAAAATTGGTGGAGAAAAGATTTAACCACAAAGGGTGCAGGAGCTTCTTTTCAGTTAGAGCGGTTACATTTTGGAACTCTCTTCCACAAGCAGTGGTATCAGCAGAGAGTATTGAATAATTCAAAAATCATTTAGATACCTTCCTCAGAGACCATAAGATATAGGGGTACAGGTACTCTTAAATAGTAGACCACACAGGGACTCACACATACATACATACATACATACATGCACAAACACACACAGGCACACAAAGGTTGAACTTGATGGACCTGTGTGTTTATTCAAACTCAAATACTATGTAACTATGTACCATAAGAACACTACTCTCAATACTTTCATAACAGCTTTTTATTTTGTGTCAGCCTATTTTTGGTGTCAAAAAAGATTATTGTTTCTTGTTTTGTGAAGGCAAAAGATGAAAGAGTTTTCCTTCTGTTTTGTTTTTACAAGTGATCATAAAAGAGGGAGATACGTTGCATATTAATCTACCTAATACCTGAACCATCATTAAGGCACGGGCGTTGAAGAGCCTGGATCCTGCTCTTGAAGCACCTGCCCTGTGCTCAAGCTAGGAGTAAAACTTCCAGGGTGAAAGCCAGGGTGATAACTGTTGCATTGAATGAACCACCACAGATGTGTGTGTGTGGGGGGGCTTTCCTTTCCCACACCTAACATTCACTTCAGGCTGGTACGGCTGATTTCATCCGTACTTCGGCTGAAATCAGTTGATCGGCCGAAGCTACGGCCAGATCCTTCGGCAGCTTTGTGAATAGACCCCTATATCACCAATTACAAGACACAATGAAAGAGACTGTTAATTAAGGACTATTAGTTGGATCTGTCACATAAAAAAACTGTATATACAGTTGAAACTTGGGGTAGTACTCTAAATGGTAGTATGAGGATATATCTCGTATTAATTGGTTCACAAGGAATGTCTATTGGGTGTGATGTAAACGTGTCAGGTAAAGTACAGGGATTTTCCTTTGTGATTGGCCATATAAAGGTTTTAGAATCACCCGAGGCTGGTTGTTGGCTTCTGTGGGGGAACTCTTTGGATGTTAATCTCCACGCTCAACAATGATACTATAACAGGCACCTGTTTCGAATGTGATGTGATAGTAACTCCAAAATACTCTCATTGCCTCAACAGAGACTCCTCAAGAAGCAGAATATATATTCGTGAAACACGTTAACACCTTCAACCCTGAGATACACTTTGGATTATGGTGTGAGATATACTAAAGAAGATGATCAAGGTTAAAAATCTCAAATAGCAGTAGATTGGGATATGTTGAGGCATGATGAAGTTCAATAGAGCCTATGTTTTGTCATTTTCACACACAAAAAACATGTTTTTACTTTTGTAATGTGTTATCTATGGAAATCAATGTTTTACTTTTATACATAAGTCTGTATTTGGGGGGTACCTTAAAAGTTCATGTTGTTACATCTCTAAATTAAGTACTATAATATTGGAACAAGATACCTTATAGACCAACCCCTAGCCTAAGAATATCAATATTGGATGGCAAGGACAGTTGGGCTCCACAGTAATATCTTGCCCTTAAGATACAGTATATTAAGATACTGTATATTATCCTCCAAAGTTTAAAATACTGGCTTAGAGCAGAATGACCATTTAGGAGACAAACAAAAACAAATTTTAATAACTTTAAGGATATGAACAAATTCAGACTCTTTATTTCACAAACACATGTGACTTCTTTAATTACTTTTAAGGCATCAAGCAAGACCTCATTCACAAAAACTAATATAGTCCTGCCTATGACTTCAAAAATAATTTCTTATACACATTTGGTTTAAAAGCGTGTACACTTGCACCTCCCTCATGTGAAATACTGTTATAATAGGTGCTGACACACTGATCACATTTCCAATGAGAGGTTATGTGTTGTTTTCAAAAATACTGATTTGGTGAACAATCTTAAGGAATGTATTAATGTGCAAGTGGAGGTAAATTGTTCAATGTGAACCAGCAATGACACAGTTAAATATGTCTAAGCTTTATAGAAGATGGAAATGTTGGCCACATCTGACATGTTTTGTTGCACCCACGCTCATGGTATATGACATTCAAGTCATTGTTGTTGCTAGTTTTGTAATATTCCACAACAAAGACATGTTTTATATAGGACAGTTTATAAATTCCATTCACAGTGCTGATAAGTATTCCACAGAACAAACCATCCTTCAGTTATTTATTATCTTTTGTTGTGTATCTTTCCAACAACCAGAGCCTAATTGCGGCTTGCTTTAAAGTGTTTATTATTGGCACAAACACAGTTTATACATGTGAAGTCATGTCTTGTCGTAGTCTGTGAACTTGGTCTTGGTCCCTGTAAGCTCACCAAGAGGCCGTATACTTTAGCTCCTGCAAGACTTTTACTTAATGGCAGTGTCCTGAAGCTGCAATGGCAGTGTTGTCAGGGAATGTTGTACATGTGCATCATTTGGAGCTTCAACTACAGCATCATTCAACATTGAGGTCCATACGCTTTGTTTTGGGAGGTATTTAAAAAGCCACAGCCTTGCTCTGTAGGTCATGTAATCCAAACATCCACTGCACCATCTGGCATGACTCCTGTCAGGAAAAATTTGAAAAATAAATACTGGGCAAATGTAATGCAAAATTAAGAGGATTCAATTTCAATACTGCAACTTAGAGAGAGCCTAAAGAAAAAAATAATAGCAGCATAGCACAGAGCTCAGACACCTGCCTTGCAGAGGTCATGGTTTTAAGGAAAATTTAGAGGTGTTGGACAGACGCGATACACACTTTGTAAGCAGCTTTAGTAGGCCACAGTGTACAGAATGTACTGAAAACAGAGACAGAAAAATTGTTCAGTTTATGCACTTTATGAGAGGTACTTTAGTACACTGAAGTTTGACAGGGAAACAACAGGCAGGTTTGTAATTAAGAAATCAAAGTCAGAGTGTTTTATTTTACAGTAAAAAGAAATATTGCAACGACCCCTCGCATAGTATTTAAGCACTATAAATAGGACATATTTTGAAGAGGACCCACCCAGGTTTTTCCTTAAAAAAATGAACATTAGGGTTTATTTGTTTTGTTGAAAAACAACCCCATAATATTGTAGTGAGCACATGCACACTCTTTAAACACTTTCACTAGGCTGCTTTGTCAACAAGACCCAAACAAGCAAGCTTTTAATTTAAAAAAAAAATCAGTATTATAATGTATTTATATCACTGAAAAATTCCCACAAAATATTGTAGGTGCACACTCTTTAAACACTTTCACTAGGCCACTTTGCAGAGCCAGAACCTGCTTTACATCTACTAGCTGCATATGCATAACTTCTGCCTGCACAGTAAGTACACATTAATAAAGAAATCATTATAGTATAATATGGTTACAGAAAAAAAAGCCAAAATACGGTAGCACCACAGTATTGAATCCCTTGTTTTGAATAGCACTCTGTTTTGAATAGCACCCCCCACTAGATGGTGCTGAGGAATATAGGTATTAAAAAAAAACATATGCCAGCAACATACACTGGGTGTACATGAGGCAGGCATATGTACAAGGCATATAAAAATGACTGAGGAGAAGTATATGGGTGCATTAGCAGGTTTTCAAGATGTTATCATTCAGATTTTGGGTGCTGCTACTGTATTTAAACCAAGCCAAATGTAAAAGTTAAAATATCAATTCCACATGCAACACATGTGATGACATACAGTATATGATGTTGCTGATGCTGTCTGTGAAAATTGTACTGTTCCATAACACCACATATACTCATGGCAGTGCCCAGCCCTCCATGTTTATTAGCCTTAACAAATGCCAGAACTTATTTTCAAGATTCATCCCCCCCAAAGATCGCAATGGGGTTTTGATTTAATTCCAAGACTGTTTGATGGGTTTGACAAACAGTCCAGAAATTGAACCAAAGTACATTCGCTTATCCCTATAGACCCTGCTAAGTATGAAAAGAAAATCAGTAATAATAATTAAATGCAATGAATAAAAATGATCACCATAAAAGAAAAGCACATAGTAAAACATTGTAGTGCCCCATTATATTGGTGCTCACTGCTCAGTGGAGAAATGTCCCCTTAGATTGGCAGTCAGTGTAGTGGTCTTACATTGCTGATCAGTGAAAAAGTGCCCCCTGACATTTTAGTAGTCACTATTGGTAACTTAGATGATCACAGGTCCCACACCACTGGTTTGGTCAAATAACTTTAGTGTCAGAACTATGAACACACCTTTAAGTGACAGATCAATCATCCACTGTTCACTGGTAAATAAACTACCAAAAACCACTGTAGAAAAGCTACAGTTCCATGGAACCCTGGTTAAAAAAGGATGCCGATTGGTTGTTAGAGGAGGAATCAGTACTCTTAAGACCCTTCTATTCCCTTGTGTAAGTCAGCTTAGTGTTTCTCTAAAAACATGATGGCTCCCATATACCACTGATTTGCTGCTCCATCTTCTCTCCCTGCTTTCCCTCTCCTGTGGTCTTATTAATATGTATACATCCTAGTCTATTCACAAATATGGCTATTAAGTGATAAACCTATTTAGATAAGGGATACTTTAGAACAGGGGCACTAGGCAATCTGGATAAGTGTACTTTATCTGAAAAATCACTTATCCTTTAACTTTTATCAGCTTAAATTAATCAGAACAAAAGCACATGATTTAAAAATTGATAATGATGGTAACGGAGGAGCTGCTTGGAAGTTCTGTTACAGCAGTTGGTTCTCAGGTTTTCCGAGAAGGCAGATCTCGACCAGTCAGCAGTGTAAGGGGAAAGTGATTACAGGTTTTCCACTTTTTGCCATACATTAGAAAACGTGTTTAATGTTCCCTCTGGCTACAGCATGTAATACATGTATACAAAAGCATTATAATGCTGCTGTTTTATTAAAAATTAATTCCATCTTCTCTAGGAAAGCTGGCAGAATCCTCTGTGTGTTGTTGAAATGTGCTGTGATATACGAAAACTATTTTAGTTGCTTGCAGTCCATAAATGTTGTTATCCTTCACAAAGATACAACAGTAATTCCTTTTTTATAAATGAGGAAATTGAACAAATGGCATTGGTTTCCCCTGAAAAGCTGAGAGTTTTACACGGTGGGAGCTATATTTCAAAGCATACCTTTCATCCAGCTTATCTGAGCTTTGAGCATTGTGCCAAAAGTTATTATATGCCATGCTGAACCAGGACTGAGCTGCTTTGATACTGAGGAAACATTCAGGTTAGCCACAGCTGCTGCTCCTGGCCATGCTGTTTTTAGTGTTGCAGTGAAAAATGTATTTGTTCTATTTCCTCTGATATTATGTATATGCCAGTGTGCACAGCGCATCTTTAAATGACATTTAAACCCTCAGGGGATTTTGCATATATCTACTGCTAGCAAGCAGTAGATATATGCAAAAACATTAAAAAAAGTTTAAAAAAAGGTTTAAACTTACCAGTGTCTCTGCCGCGTGCTCCCGTCCAGAGATCTGAAAAATTTCAGGCGGTCACAAAGAATCTTGAGACGGGCGCATGCGCAGTACAGATCTTCGGCCGGGAGATGAGGAGAGACACAAGGTAAGTCAATGGAGGCAGCGTGCACCCATACAGACTCCATGGGACAGGAAGTGCCAGGAAGAGAGAGGAGTCAGTGCTGGATCGGAGCCTGGCACCAGTGCTGGAGGGACTACTGAAACTACAGGAAAGAAGAAGATGATCGGATCAAGAGGCATCATTTAAGGTAAGTTGTTACACTAGCATGGGGGGGGGGGGGGGGGGATGGATATCCTTTAATGTCACTTTAAGGTATACAATGAATTTTTATGAGTTTTAGTTTAGTAATACAATTGGTTTTTGAGTTTTTTGTTTTCATGACTGAGATATATGTACGGTAAAATCACTGCAGTAGATTGGGAATGCATTTTAGAAATTTTAGATGGTTCCCATTTCCCATTGTGTTGTTTCTTGTTAGATGGAAATCCACCTGGATTGATGTGTATTTATACCTGCATGTTCACCTATGCATTGTGTCACTGTTGCTCTGATGAGGGATCCCTGTGCGGACCCGAAACGTTAGCACCATATGACAGTATGTGACATTGGGTATTGAATAAACATATTTTATTTATAGTTAGATGGAAACTCATCAACGTCAAGCCATCTGCCTATGGACTACCTGTTGGTTATGTACAAGGGGGTAGCAAAAAGCAATGCTCGTTGTTTCATATCTGCTGTTCATGTGAACTTGTAAAATGTTATAATAAAATGTTATTATTATGTAAAATGTTATAATTTATGTCATACATATGGTCAAACTCAATCAGTGCATGCTTTTTTTAAATTGTACCAAGCGAATGATGGATGAGAGGCTAAAACACAGAGCAGTAACTGAGTTTCTGACAAAAGAGGGTTTTTTGTCTGTTGAGATTCATACACATCTGATGAATGTGTATAAAGATGCATTAATTGACTTGTGCAATGTTAGGTGTTGCGTAAAGAGAGTAAAGGGAGATATTAAAATTGTTGACAAGGCTTTGAATGGCACTATTCAAGCTCTCCTCATCCAAAGAAATTAAAATCTGTCAGATCAGCACAAACCTGCCAGATCAAGACAGCCATGTTTTGGGATGACCACAACATCATTATCATGAACATTTTGGATAACAGCAAAACCTAAATTGGTGCACTTCGAAAATTGAAGAAAGTCATCAGGAAGAAAAGACAGCAGAAAGACATCCATGCCATATAGTTGCATCATGATAATGCATGCCTACACACTCTTATGCCACTCCTATGCCAGCAGTCAGGTGGCAAAATGGGCTGGTCAGTAGTCCCTCCTCCATCCTACAGCTCCTATGGAAGTAGCCATTTTCTTTAGTTTTTCTGACTTCCAGACAGTATGTTAGCTCTGAGGATGTTTCACCACTTGCAGTGAACTGTATAGTTTAGGTTTCAGTGCCTTATAACTAG